GACGATGGTGTTGATGATGCTGATCACGATGATGACGATGATGCTGATGATGATGATGCTGATGCTTATCATGCTGATGATGACGATGATGAAGATGATGACGATGACGATGCTCATGTTGGCGATGATGCCGATGTTGATGAGCATGATGATGACGATGATGATAGCGATGATGCTGCTGTTGATGAGGATGATAATGCTGTTGATGGTGATGGTGATGCTGATGATGATGCTGATCGTGAGTTGATGATGATGGCGGTGCTGATGTTGCTCTTGAGGATTATGCTCATGATGATGGTGACGAGCGTGACTGTCATGATGGTGAGGGAGGTACCTCTGATGACGATGATGAAGAATGTGTATACGTAAATGGTGATGATCGCGACGAGGAGGAGAAGGATGATGACGATGACCTCGTTGCTATTTCCGTTGCTGATAGGACGATGGTTGCGGTGGTGATGGTTGTGATCGTGTTGGTGATGATGATGATGGTGATGGTGGCGATGTTGTTGCTACAGATGATATGTGGGTGGGGAGGGTGATGATGATGGTGATGATGATGATGATGATGATGATGATGATGGTGGTGGTGGTGGTGATGGTGCTGCTGACGGGAAGGATCATGATGGTACTGGTGGTGATGTTGATCATGATTCTGATGACGTGGAAAGGGAGGGACAGCAGCACAAACATGAGCAACACCATCCGCAGTGGCGGCAGCGGAAGCAGCATCGTCACAGCAGCAGCAGGCGCGGGCCGCTCGACGGTCGACCGCAGCGGCCGCGGCGGCCGCGGCGGGTGAGTCGGCCCAGCGCGTCCAGCGGGCGCTGGTGGCAGCAGGTTCGCGCTTGGAAAGGCACGAGGCGATCGTGGACCTCATCCCCCCCTCTCCGTTTCCGTCGTCGCCGCAGTCGTCCTCCTCGTCTTCGTCGTCGGCGTCGTCATCCCCCCTCGTTCTCCTCGTCGTCGTGGTATGCGTCGTCTATGTCATCGTTGTCGTCGTCGTCGCCGACGTCGGTATCTATCTCCCATCTCCCCTCTCATCCCCTCCCTCCTCTCTCCTCTTCCCTTCCCTCTCCTCCCTTCCCTCTCATCCCTCCACCTTCGTCCCTCCTTCCTCCTTCGGACCTAGGCCCCAGATGCCCCGATGCTCCAGATGCTCCAGATGCTCCAGACGCTCCGTGCACCCTTTTTCCTCCTGGCTCCTTTCCTCGAGGAGAAGGACACAACAGAAGGGTTGGGAAAAGGGGTGACGACATCTGCTGCACGCAGCTGGGTTCTGCCCAGCCGCAGGCAGTCTTTATGATACACCGTCGTCCCCGGCGCTGGGAGGCGCTGAGAGAAAATAAGACGTGCCGCTGGTTTGCAACTTTCCCTCTCACTGCTCCGCCTTTCAATACCCCCCTTTTGTCCACCCCGACCTTCTCGCTCTTCGTCGCCGTCGTCACCGTCGTCGCCATCGTCACCGTCGTCGTCAGCGTCGCCGTCGTCGTCATCGTCGCCTTCCCTACCTCCCCACTCCTGCTCCCGCCCCCTTCTCTCCGTCCTCCCTCCCTCCCTCCAGGAGGAGGGGTATGGGGTAGAAGGAAGAGGAGAAGGAGTTTACTGGGAGGAGGGGGAGAGGAGAAGGAGGAGGAGGAGGAGGAGGAAGAGGAGGAGGAGAAGGATTATCAACCTGCCCCTCCTCTCCCTCCCCAGGCGAGCGTCGAATCCGCTTTCAATGAGCACGAGTTCGAGGCTTTTCTGAGTACTGCGCACGTGGCCACTGGATGACGCCCCGTGCGCGAAAAGATCGGAGGGTGGAATGGGGGCCACCCGATTCGTCATTTCCTCATCGTCCTCTTCATCATCGTCATCCCTCTCCTCATCCTCATTCTCCTCCTTCTCCTCCTCGTTTCGTTTCGTTATGTTCTATTGTGTTTCGTTCGCATCTGAAAGGGGGCACGCCCACGCGCACACCCTTGCGCGCGAGCCACACCAGGATGCCAGCGGCGCACGCTCCGTAGAGACTCAAGGCCACGGCCCATGCTGCCACTACACCGCTGCCCACTGCCTGTCGCTCCCGCAACCGCTGATCCCCGCACTGTAGGTGAGCCCTCGCCTCCCACATCGCCCTCAGCAGCGCTAAGGACGGCTGCCGCCGCTCGCCTGCCCCGCACTCCCTGATCCCGACGTTGGAGTTCATGGCGATTACTCTAGCTCCGCCTCCCACATCTCGCTGAGCAGTGCCGGAACCTGCTGTCGCTGCCGCCCTTCCCGCAGGCGCTGATCCCAGCGTTGTAGCTGACTAGGGCTGACCCGTGGACTCTGTCCACGATATCTTTCTGGAATGGTTCTCGGAGGAACGGCGCAGATTGTACCGAAAATCTACAAACACGGCGGCGGCTCGGGCGGCGGCAGCGAGACCGCGCCTTCGCGTCCGAGCTCTTGCAGCGCTCCAGCAGCTTGGCCCAGCGCACTGCTCGTTCACCCCCCTCCTATTGAGGACAGTTTCGAAGTCTCTCGGGAATGTGCGTCGAAGTCGAAGCCCATCTGAGGCGTCTCAGGAGCGCTCGGGGAAGGGCTCGGGAGGCCATCGGGGAAAGCCACCGAAAGCGCCGGGGAGGCTCGCAAGGATCTACAGGGAGGGCCCAAGAGAGCTTCAAGAAAATTTGAAATCCAGTGAACTCTTAAGAGAAACCGCTGTTGGGTCGGCCATCACCTCCGGGCGCGCCTTGATGGTGCGATCCAGTCGCATCACCGCCAACGGGAGGGTTTGTTCGCCATGTCCCATTCTGTTCGCCCAGAGGGTCTGTGGAGGCCTTCGGGCGAACAGAACGGGACAGGGCAAGGAATGGGGAAGACATGTCCGAATCTCCTGGGCCCCCCAGATGCTCGTCCGAAGAATGCGGAGAGGTCCCAGGGTCATATCAATTGGCTGCTGTCCCAGGGGTCCGGTCTGCTTGGCCCGAAGAGTTTGCCAAGGCCCCTGGGGGAACAGAATGGCACAGCATATCGGGCAAAGGGGGGCGGTAGCTGGCCTGTCAGACCCGGCGTTCGTCTTCTGCCCAAGCGGCGCGGGGCCCACGGGCCCCAGGGTTGGCGGCCCGCTGGGTTTCCTCTTGTTCGCCCACAGGGTTGGAGGAGGCCTCCAGGCGAACAGAATGGGGCAGGACAATGAATGTGGGAGACTTGTCGCAAGCTCCCAGCCCCCCCAAGTGTGCGCCCGAAGGGTGTGGGGCCGCGTTGGCTCCCTCAAAGGGCCGTCTTGGAGCCGTCTAGGCCCGTCTTGAGGGCGCCGTTTGCCCTGATGGGGCCGTCTTGGTTCGTCGTGGGCCCCTCATGGGCGCGTCCGTAGGCCGTCCTGGGCCCATCGGGGTCCTCGTGGGGCTGTCTTGGAGCCGTCTGGGACCGTGAGGAGGCCGCCTTGGAGTCGTCTTGGGCCCCTCCTGTGCGCCTCCTTGGGCCGTCCTGGGCCCAGCAGGGGCCGTGTTGGCACCCTCTTGGGGCTGTCTTGGAGCCGTCTTGAGCCGTCGCAGCGCGCCTTGGGTTGTGCTGGGTCCGTCTTGGCCCGTCTTGGGGCCTTCCTGGGCGGTTCCTCGGACCCTCCTGGGACTTTCTGGGGCCTCTTGGTGCATCGGACCGCCGAAACGGCGGGAAACGCAAAGGGTGTAACAGTAAACAATGGAAAATTAACGATTTTTGCCAGCTGGGACTCTCTTGCCATCTTGGCCCGTCTTGAGGCCCCGAACGGGCGCGTCCTTGGGCCGTCCTGGGCGCACCCTCCTGGGACCGTCTTGGAATCGTCTTGGGCCGTCTTGAGCGCGCCTTGGGCCGTCCTGGGCCGGTCTGGGGCCGTGTTGGCACCCTCGCGGCGAGGAAGCTCGGAGGCGGGCTCGAGGCCTCTTCGGGGCCATTTTGGAAGCTGTTGGGGCCTCTGTAGGGGCCTCGTTTGGGCTCCTTGGGAGCCTCCTGGGGCCTCTTCGGGGGATTCTTGGCGGCCCCTTGGGGCCTCTTGGGGGCCTGTTTGGGCCTCCTGGCGCCCTCTTGGGGCGGAAGGCTCGGATTTTCGGTCCGTGGTCCCCCTCTTGGCCCCCTCTTGGGCCTGTCTTCGGGCCCTCGTGGGCCGTCTTGAGCGTCTCTTGGGTCGTCTTGGGGCCCTCTTGGGCTGTCTTGGGGCGCTCTTGGAAACCTCTTGGGCCGTTCTGGGGCGCTCTTGGAGGCCTCTTGGGCCGTCTTCGAGCGTCGGAAAGCGGAAAAGGCGAGAAGGCCCAAATCCTTCCAAAACCGTCGTACAGCGGACGATTTTGAGGCCCAAAACCGTCCAAAACCTCCTGAGGCGGTCCCCTCGTCCGCCCCCCTCGCTTCGAAGCAGTTTTTCCTTTTTTCTAGCAAAAGCATTCACCAGCTTCTTCCCCCACACCGATACCGCACATAATCCGCTTCCCCTCATGGGGGCTATGAGCGCTCCGCAAGATGAGCCGCTGCTACCCACCGGCATTGCGCACGGACATGGCCTCGTATCGCTCTGAAGCTGTTTAGCGGCAAGGCTCGAAAAAGATGGGCCGGGTAAACGTCACCACAAACAAGGAGGAGGAGGAGGAGGAGGAGGAGGAGGAGGAGGAGGAGGAGGAGGAGGAGGCAAGGAGGAGGAGAGGTCAACGTGGTTGTTAAAACCTGCTGCATTGTGCAGCATCTGCTGGACATACACAGGCACAAAAGTGAAACAGCGCAGGAGGAAGGAGGCGGAGGGGAAGCCAGGGAGACAAGCCCGAATCAAAGAGCACGCTCAAGCCAACCTGCAATAGGTGAGCCGATGCATGTACTCACACCCTGGAACAAAATGGATAATTGCAGATCTATGCATCCCTTGCGGCCCAAATGGCCACGTCGATAAATCCCCACAACGGAACAAGAGAGGAGCCCGGGGGAGGGGAGGCGACGGGGGAGGACAGGAGGGGCGGAGAAGCGGGGTGCTCAAGGCAGCACTTCCTGACACTAAACGACGAGCTGAGCTCAGCCTGAAGATTTTCAAGATCATGCAACATCGCCCGAGGAGCATGCATCTTGGGCATGCGGCTGGCAAAAAACGGCGGGGCCAGGAGCGCCGCCGAAACTGCGGGCCGCGTGCGGAAGACCAGCCGCGGGCAATTCAAGGAGAAGGAAGGGGCGAGAGCGGAGGGAAGGCGAAGGAGAGGAAGGAGGAAGAAGGGGACCTGGTACCAGGTGGCCAAGAGGGCGCACTCGCCGTGGAGCACACGGTGGTTGCCGCGAATGCGTATGGTGCTCTTCACTCGGGCTCCCACCAAGGTGATGTGAGCCTGAGAAGTGCGGTCGCTTCGAAGCAGTTTTTAAGACCCGTGGCACCTCTTGGGGATCTCTTTTGGGCTCCTGGGGGCCTCTTGGGCCTCCACTGGATTCGCTGCCCTCGGTCGGCAATCGTCGATCCTACGACGACTCTCCCCAACGGAGAAACATCGAAGGCCCTCGGAGCGTCCAACATTGTTCTTTTGTGCCTTCGATATGCCGGTCGCCTCTCGTCCGCTCCCCCCCTCCTGGAAGCAATTCTGAAGCCACTTAGGGTTTCGTGGGGGCCGTTTGGGGATCTCTTGGAGCGTTTTTGCCTGCGATATGCCTGTCGCCTCTCGTCCGCTCCCCCGCTCCTGGAGGGAATTCTGAAGGCACTGAAGGCTTCGTGGGGGCCGTTTCGGAGCCTCTTCGGCCTTCTTTTGGGCCTCCCGGGGGGGCTCTTAGGGCCCTCTCGGGCCGTCTTGGGTGCCTCTTGGGCCGTCTTGGGGCCGTCTGAGACCCGCCTCGGCGCCTCTTGGGCTGTCTTGGGCCGTCTTGGGCCGCTCCTGGGGCCGTCTTGGGTGCCTCTTGGGCCGTCTTGGGCGCCTCCTGGGCCGTCCTGGGGCCGTCCTGGGCGTCTTGGGACCGTCTGGGGGCCCTCCTGGCCCGTCTTGGGGCTCTCTTGGGGTCCTCTTCGGCCGTCTTGGAGCGGTCGGGGGGACTTCTTGGGCCGTCTTGGAGCGTCGGGAAGCCGAAGAGGCGAGGAGGCCGAAAACATCGAAAAACACAGTAGAAATCGACGATTTCTGTCGCTCGGGGCCCTCTTGGGAGGCCTCTTGGGAGGCCTCTTCGGGCGTCTTGGACGCCTCTTGGGCCGCCTGGGGCGAATCTCGGGCGTCTTGGGCCCATCTTTAAGCGTGCCGGGGCTCTCCGGGGCCGTCTTGGGGGCTTCTGGGGGCCCTCCCGACATGTCCTGGAGCCTGCCTGGGCGGCCCGGGGCGGCCCGGGGCCAGCCCGAAGCGGTTTTGAGACATTGGAGCCTGCGCCCTTCTGGCACGCAGTGGGCCCTGCAATGTAGTAGAGACTAGAGTGAACCCGTGGGCTTCGTCCAAGACGTCTGGCCGAAGTGGCATGAGCGGTTTCTCTCGGGGGGGTCAACGCGTCTTGCTGCGGGGCTGCTGCTGCTGCTGCTTCTGCTCACTGGTGTTGCTGCTTGGTGCCGCTGGATCCTCCTCCTCCATCTTTGTCGCGCCAAAGTTTCAGAAGTGCTGAAGGAGCTCTCAGGGAAGCTGTCTGACGGTGGGGGGCCACCCAGAGCCCAAGTTTTTGTTCGTGGCCGTAAGCATTCCTACGACCGGAACAAATCAGCGGCCGAGCGGCCGAACAAATCCCGCAATGGGGCGGGTTTGGCGCAGCAGTGCTGTTTGGCCGCGAAAGGTGGTTATCCATCTTTTCCTTTTTCAACCCCTCCTATACCCTTCCTCCTCTCCTTCTTCGCCCTCTCCTCCGATTCCCCCTCCCCCTCCCTTCCGCTATCTGTGAGCCGGCCGAGGAACAACTCGGGGCACGTGCAACGCCTTCATAAGTCAAAGTGGCCACGCGGGCCCCGAACAACGTCTGTTCCGTGCGCCGCATGGCCAGCACAACCGCAGCATGTTTGAATTTGGCAACCCAGTTTTTGCAATTCGCCCAGTCGGCACGGTCGACGGAAGCAATGGCGGTAGCCTTGCGGCTGCAGTGCAGGCCCACAACGCAGTCGCGCGGGACGCCGACCGGGTGGTGTTCGACCACGCGCAGCACGGCAACCAGAAGGCCCTCTCCGACGCGGTGGACAGCGCCTCGCTCGACGGACTTCTGGCGGGCTCCACCCTGGCCGGCAAGGCGCACTTCTCTCTGGTGCAAGCCCCAGGCGCGGCCGCGTGGCTCCAGGCGCCGCCCTGCGAGGCCACCGGCGCCGCCTTCCCGCACGGCCTCATGCAGGTCGGCCTGCAGAGGCGGCTGCGAGTCCAGCTCCTGCAGGAGGAGTGTTTCTGCCCAGCCTGTGGCGAGGTGATGGACGTTTTCTGCGACCACGCCCTGGTCTGCGCCTGCCGCGGCGACCGGACCAAACGCCACAACGCCCTGCGCAACCAGGCCTTTTTCGACGCCCTGGCCGCTGGCCACGCCGGGGCGGAGTTGGAGCGCCCGGGGCTGCTACCCGCGCGCCCCCGCCGGGGAGGCCACCCCCGGGGGCGAGCAGGGCGGGCCCCAGGTGGACGACAACGGCCGCCGCCCTGCCGACGTCTACCTGCCGCGGTGGCGCAACGGCACGGCGGCCGCCTGGGACTTTGCCGCCACGTCAAGGTTGCGCGCCGATCTCCTCGCCGCGTCGGCCGCTTCGTCAAGCGCAGCGACGGAGCGGTACGAGGAGTTCAAAAGGCAGCACCAGGACACCGCGCGGCTCTGCGCGGCACAGGGCTTCACTTTCCTCCCCATGGTGGTGGAAGCCCACGGCGGCGGGTGGGGCCGCGAGGCACGCAGGGCCTTCGGGGTCCTGGCCAAGCTGGTGGCTGACGCCACGGGGGAAGACGCCGCACTGGTTGCGGACCAACATGCACAGCGACTTTCCGTCTCCCTGCACAAGGAGAACGCGCGGGCGGTGTTGCGGCGCCTTCAGACCCTGGCGGCCCGCCTGGCCGCGGCCGCGGCGGCCTCCACGGCAGACGCCGTGTGAGGTGCCCCCTGCGCTGCCTAGCGCCCCCCGCCCCCCCCCCCCGCCCTTGCTGGGCAGCGCGGGCGCCCCCCTCGCCCTTTCGCCAACGTCGCGCCGGCGACCCCTCCCACGCGCCGCCCGGCCTTTCCCCGGCGGGGCGGTGGATGGACCCCGCAGAGGGCAATCCCCACCAAGCCGCATCGCGCTGGGTTCGGGCGGCCACCCCGCCCAGGTCGCCGCCGTAGGGTCCGCGGCCTCGTCGCGGGCGGCTCGTCTCTCCCGGCCCCTGGCCCGGCCTGTCTGCTTGCGGCCGCTGCTTTCTCTCCTCCTTGTCCTCCTCCCCCTCCTCCCCCTCCCTTCGCTTCTGCTTGTTGCTTCCCTCCCTTTCCTTTCCTCCTGCTCCCTGCCTGCTGTCTCCGCATGGCCCGTCTTCTGCCTGCCCGCCCGCCCCGCTGGCCCTGGCCTCCCGCCCGGGCGTTCGTCGTCGTCTGCCTGCTTCTCCATTCCTCGCCCCCTTCCACCGGACAGCACAGCCTGCCCGGAACCAGCGTGGCGGCATATAGGGGCTTGGCGCGCTTTTGTTTCACATAATTCCAAGGGGCCGACCCAGGGACGCCCAGGACAGTCTTGCTTCGCGACGGTGAGGGTTTAGGACGCTCTAGCTTCGCGCATGAGTGGAAAAAAAGAAATGGAGCAGAATTGTGCGAACGGCTGGATGCGCATGTCCGCGATCAACGCGTCAGCGTGGAATAGCCATGCTGCAACCGCGCGAGCGGCCACGCAGACCTGGGCTACAGCCTCGTTTGGCAGGAGGTCAAGCCTAGCCCTCGCGATGCGATCCGCTGAAGCAGGAGTGCGGCAACCCGGGGGGATAATCGCGTCCCAGAGGAAACTCTGACAAGATCTCCTGGCCGCAACCCGAAACAGATTTTCTCCTCCTCGTTATCGTCGTCGCTCGCTCCGTCTGTGAATCGCCTTCCCGTCCCCTTCCGCTACTCCTTCTGTTTCCCCTCACCGAGCGCACGACTTTTTTCGATGGGGCTTCGGTTTCGTGCGCCACCCCCCGAATGCGACAGCTCCTGCTCACCCTTCCTCGTCCTGCGCGCCTCTCGTCTGCGCGCTTTTGTGTCCTTCGCTTCTCCTGGCTATGCTCCTCCTGCCTCCCCTCCTCCCCCTGCTGCTCATCTTCCTCCTTGGGGTGGGGGCGATTGCGCTGGGGCCTGGCCGAGGCCAGGCCCGCCGCCTTGGCCCCCACCTTCGTCCGGCAGGTGGAGCTGGCCGCCATCACTGCCGACGGAGGCGATGGGGGACCGGTGCGGGCGGGAGTGGGGAGGAGGAGCAGCAGGAGGATGAGGAGGAGGATGAGGAGGAGGAGGAGGAGGAGGAGGAGGAGGAGCAGCAGCAGCAGGACGAGGAAGATGAGAAGGAGGAGGAGGAGAAGGACGAGGACCAGGGCAAGCCCAAGACTTCCCAACGATATTACAATACACCCTCTCTCCAAGTTCCCTTCTCATAGGCGCCTACAACATCTCTTTAAACAATAAATGGGGGAAGTGATCCTGAGTCGTGCCAGAACACCATTCCTGGGACGTCAACACAGCGAATCCACGTGACTGGCGCCCTGACAGTCCCACACCATGCCCAAACAGTCCTTGTGATACGTCAACCATAGGACTCCGTGAAGAACCGTGAAGCGTTTAAGACGATTGTGCCGGCGCTTAGGCGAGAGCCACATTTTGTAAAAGAGCCGCTGTTCATCCGTGCTCCTGTAACCGTTTCAGATGAATGTGCGCGGCGCGAAGGCGAGAGCCAAATATTGGAAAAGAGCTGGCTTCCATGAGTGGAGCTCTTGCAACCCTCCAAGACGAATGTGCTCTGCGTTAATGCGAGAACCACATTTTGAAAACCGCCCGCCCTCCACCCGAGAGAATGTTGCAGACGTTTAGGACGAATATGCTCGACGCTAATGCAAGAGCCTTATTTTGAAAATGAGCCGCCCTCCATTTTGTGAAAACCTTGCAAACGTTTCAGACGAATGTGCGCTGCGCTAAGGCGAGGCCATGTTTTGAACACCGCCCGCCTTCCATACGTGAGGTGTGTGCAACTTTCAGGTTAAAAGATCATAAGCGATGAGGGAGTCTCATGCGAAATGCCCCGCCCGCCCTGCCGACGCGTCTCGGGGTGCGACAGGGAATAGTTATTCATCAGCAAAAAGAGTGGAGGACTGCACATTGACGCCACGGTTAACCAACCAGCGCCTACGCAAAATAAAAAGAGGAAATCCGAAGGCGGGTTGGGGGGAGTGAGGGCGGAATGAAAGGAAGATGGGGATTCACGGCGGTGGAAGAGGATGTCTGGAGGAGGATGTGGAGGAGAAGACGGACCAGAACGCGTATAAATCCAAACCGCATCTCTGATGTTGCAGTAAACCCTCCTCAACATGTTCCTTCATAGGACCCGTACAAGATTGTATGCAACGGAAGGTGCCCCATTTAACGACATCCGTCTGAGGATTGCCACGTCTGCCACATAGCCTTTCCTGGGATGCAACTCCGCGAATCAACGTGACTGCTGCGGTCTCAAAATCCTAAGTCGTGCCAAAACGCCGTTCCTGGAACTTGAGCACCACGAATCAAGGTGAATATTGCCTCCTGGCAATCCCAAGTCATGACAGAAAACCGTTCCCGGGGTTTGAGCCCCACGAACCCGTCACGATGCTGAAAGTTCTGAAATCGAGTGTTACACATTATTTACGAGTTTCCCTTGACACAGTTGTAAGCTTCAAGCTTTCAAGCTTCAGGACCATACATTGGACACGTTTCGGGGTACGACAGCGACAAGTCGTTTATGAGGGACAGGAGTGGAGGATAGCAGGAGGAGGAGGAGGAGGAGGAGGCCGCGGGTCAGGATGGGGTAAATGAGGATGAGGAGGAGAAACGAGTTGGAGTGGATACCCTTGGTGCAGGGGGGGAGGTAAACGGGGGTTGATATACAAAGGGCCTCGCTCCCAACGACTCCTTGCCTGGCCGCCGTGCTGAGCGTCTCGTGCCGTTCAGCGGCTCTCTCGCTGGAGCTCGACGATTTGCGCGCGTCCCAATTGAGCCGCCGCAGCTTTGTCTGAGGCCGCCTCGACCACCTGTGCCGTTCCAGCCGCCTGCGGGGGTTCCGTGCTGGATTCCTCGGTCCGCTCCGCGGTGTCCTCGGCGGCCTGATCCTTGGACTGCTGCTCTGTCAGCGAGTCAGCGGCAGCCTTTCCGACGGCGCGTTGCTTCGGTGATTGTCTTCGGCATTACCAGGATGCAGCTACTGGGACCTTGGATGTAATTTCCGCATCGGCACAGGTATATCAGTGGTCGAAATCCGGCCCAATCCAGCAACATCTCGTCTAATCAGGCTTAATCCCGTGCATTCCAACTGAATCGCGGGCGTAGTCTGGCCTGATCTGGTGCCACGCCCCTGGCGTAATTGCCCCTTGATGACATAACAGCGCTGGACCGTTCGTACGAGGACTTCGCAGGAGCTGCTTCCTCAGAGAGAAGGGGGCAGCAGCGTCTCCAGCAGAGTGTGAGCCCGGCCGTTTACGGGCGCCTGCCAGCCTCCCCGCCGTCGTGCACGTTCGTCGCGAGGCGGACGGCCGAATTGCTCCAATGACCCACAGAGCGGGCAGACCCAAGTTTGCGAATGGCGGCACGAGCTCAGAGGCACCCGCGCGCAGCGTGAGTGGTGCCGCGCCAGGCACTCCGAGGCGCTCGTCGTGTGAAGGCTTCGGGCTGCGCAGAGACAGCCCGCGCCCCAGGGTCCGGGTGCCAGAGACCGCCCCAGACTATTCATGGGGGCTTGTTGAGGCCAGCCAGGACTACCTGAGGGGGGCTGTCAGTGCGCTGCCCGAGGCTTTACCAGTTCGTAGTGCTGCGCCCTCTTCGTCCTTGCGCCGCGGCAGTCGCCCTGCTAGAGCGCTGCCAGTGCAGGGACGCTCGCGATCAACCGATTGACCAGCTCGCCGATCGCCGTGATGAGGCGCTCGCGCGCCTTCTGGATCTTGTCCCGCTCGTGGGAGAGGTTTGTGATGTCGCGGTCCGCCGAAGAGTGGGCGCGCTCCCGTCGAAGTCTGCGTTCCGTTGCGAAGATCTCGAGCGAGCGCCAGTCGCATTGGGCACAATCCTCCGAGCGCGTGCGCCCGAGCGGCCGTGAGTCCAAATGGCAATCGAGCAGGAGGAGCAGGAGGAGCAGGAGGAGGAGGAGGAGGAGGGGGAGGGAAAAGGCAGGAAGGATCAAGGAGGAGGCATCAGAGAACAGGATGATCAAGTTTGCGCCAGAACACCCATCATCAAGTCTCCTGCAACGCCAAATCCGATGCAGCCTGTCATGTGGCTTCCTGCACAGGAGCAAGGGCACGAGGAGAAGAAGTTTTGGGCAGAGGGGCAGATTAACGCATATCCTCCAGGATACCACCAGAAGTGTGAGGACCCGAAAACCGTGGAAAGAAGGGGGGCGTGCAGCACCGCATGAGGGGCAGCAGCCTGGTCTCGAGCAGAGCTCGCGGAGTCGCCGACCGGGCGTAGGAGATCTGGGGCCCTGCAGTCGCGCGGCCACAACCTGTGGCGATCCTCCTTCTGGTCCTCTTCCTCCTCCTCCACTTTTTGCCTCCCCTCCACACCCGTCCCTCCTTCCCCGCCTCCCCCTCCTTCCCATCCCCCTCTCCCCTTCCCTCCCTCGGAGCCTCCTCCCCCCTGCCTCCTTTCCCCCCCCCTCCCCCTCCTCCTTCCGCCCCCTTCCTCTCCTCCTCGCGCCCGCTGCCTTTCCCGCACCCGCCCTCTCCGCACTGGTCGGGACCACAGGAGCCGTCGACCAGCCCGTGCACGCCGACACCATGCACGGGAGGGGCAGGGAAGGCGGGGCTTTGCAGTTTGGCACTTCGCGGGAACTCGGTCGTTCTCGTGCGTGCGATCGGGCCACTGCGAGACGCCGCTGGGGTCGTTGGGGTGGGGAGGAGGGCGTTCGGGGAGCGCTCCTCCTCCTCCTCCTCCTCCTCCTCCTCCTCCTCCTCCTACTCCTACTCCTACTCCTACTCCTCCTCCTCCTCACTTTCCTGACTGCACTGGAGACCTTCTGGTGTCCAGTGGCAAAAAGGGTGCGCGAGGGGCGGAGGTCCTGTGTGCAGCTCGCTGCACACTGAGGCCCGCAACGCCTGGGCGCGGCTGCCACCTCCAGGGGCATCTGAGGGGGCAGCCGCGGCCCTCCCGCCCCTCGCGAGGGAGTCGGAGGAGGGAGGCGCTGCGGGCAGCGGCCCAGGCCTCCGACGATCTGATGTGTCTGCGTTGTCCCATGGATTTGGGCATTCGGGGGCGGTTCCTTGGCCCCGGGACCATGGCGAATGGCCATGGGACCATGCCTTGTGCACACACCGAACGGCAAGGCGCAGCTATGGCGCGGCATGGCGAGAGAAAGAGAGAGAGAGATAGAGACAGACGGACAGACAGACAGACAGACAGACAGACAGACAGACAGACAGACAGACAGAGAGAGATAGAGACAGGGAAAATAAGAGAGAGAGAGAGAGAGGGGAGAAGAGAAGCTGGGAGAGGAGGGAGTGAGGTAGTGGAGGGTGACGATGAGGAGGAAGAGGAAGAGGAGGGGGGAGGGAAGTGGAGAAGATAGGATGAGGCTGGGAGTAGGAGGAGCAGGGAGTGGGATGGGAAGATTGGAGTTGTGGAGTGGGATGGAAGAGGAGGAGTGCCGTGCTTTGAAGTCAACGTGGACCTCGCTCCCACAGGCACAAAGAGGAGGGAGGAGGAGGAGGAGGAAGAGGAGGAGGAGGAGGATCATTTCTAATTCTATGCTCCTCCCGCGCCGTTTCGCGGACGCGTCCGGCGCCGCATCCTTCGCTGCACTCTTCGGCGCGCGCGCGTGTGCTGGCGACGGCAACGGCAGCGACGTCGGCGACGGCGCCGACGACCGAGGACGACTGCGACGACTGCGACGACTGCGACGACTGCGACGACGACGATGACGACGACAATGACGACGACGACGGCCCACGACGGCCCACGACGGCCCACGATGGTAACGACGACGGCGACGGGCGACGCTGGAAGACGACGACCAACGACGGCTGCGGCGGCGACGACGATGACGACAGCTATGGCGACGACAGCGTTTAACTACGATGACACGATTTCGATGACGGCTACGACGACTGCGACGGCGACTACGGCGGCGACTACGACAAGGGCGGCGGCGGTGGCCCTGGCAGGGTCACCCGCTTTCTGCAGAGCGACGTGCAGTTGCCCGTCGGGGAAGCTCTGGGTGAGGCTCCCGCCGCCCGCGGCGCACTCCGCCTCGGCGGGGCAGGGTCGAGGAGCGCGGATCAAATTCTTTCGTGCTGCAATGTTTTTTGCTGGAGCGGCCTCCAGGGCAGGGCTCGGCACGCCACCGGCGTCGCCGCGGGTCCTTCATTTATATGTTTTTCAGCGTTGACCCAACGAGTGGATTCTTGCACTCTCGATGTGCGCCTTATGTGGTGCAATCTCTGTGGTGATAGTGAATTCGGCTCGCTCGCGCGTGACCACTTCCCATGCTCGCGCACAAATCCCACCCACCCACTTGCAACTTGGTTTGCAAAACCCATGTGGCGGCGATTGCCATGGCTGCTTGGCGCTGGCTGGTGCGTCGCTGTGGCCGCGCTAGCGCGCGCAGGCTCGCGCTCAGAGCGGCGCCTGGCGCGACCGACGCGGCCACGACTACGCTGACCGCGGCGGGCGCTGTATCACGGCGACGTTGGCAGCGGCAGACACGGTGATGATAGTAGCGATGTTTGCGACGATGATGGCAACGATGACAGCAAGGGCAATGACGGCGCCGATGCTGATTACGCCGATGACGATGATCGTGTCCCCTTGTCGGTGATGAAGGTTGTGAGAAGATTTCGACGTGCGCGCGCGGTCGACGCTCGCGTGGCAAGCATGGTTGTATTTGACAGCGGCCGTGCCCCCCCAGCGCGCGCGCAAGGGCATTCGGATAATTTCGACGCGCGCGCGAGAGGCACGTTTGGTTATATGTGAATTCCAGGTCGAGCAGCAATTCTTTTCATAAGGGCTTGCAAAGGCACGGGTGCAGACTTTATGAACATGTTGTTGCGACTCCATCGTTTCATGTTTGAAATTTGTTCGGGGCACTCGATGTTTAACTTTAACCCCTTGCGACACATGCAGTTCGTCAAGGATTTTGGATTGCGCGCACGTCGACGCGCGCGCGTGCACTTCGTTTTGCCTTTTGTAATGGGTTTTTGTGACAGCACGCGCGCAGGGGCCTTCGAATGATTTCGACATGCGCGCGCGAAAAGCATTTGGGGTCTCATGTGATAAACACAATGAAAACCCAATCCTAGTGGCCTTCGGCCCATCCCGCCACCGCGCCTGGGTTGTGGGTCGGAGTTCTCAGAGATGTTTCTTCGTGTCTCTCCGGGGCGCTCTCGGGGGCCTCTTGGGAACCGTTTTGGGGCCTCTTGGGGGCCTCTTGGGGGCCTCTCTGGGGGCCTCTTGGAAGCCTGGGGCCCCTTGAAAACTTCTTGGGGCCTCTTGGGGCCTCTTGGGGGGTTCTTGGGGCCTCCTGGGGGGCTCTCGTGGCCGAGGGCTCGGAATGTCCGTTCGGGTCCCCCATCTGGGCCCCCTCTTGGGGTCGTCTTTGGGGCCTCTTGGGCCGTCTTGGGCGCCTCTCGGGCCGTCAAGGGGCCCTCCTGGGCCGTTTTGGGGCCTCTTGGGCGCTTCTGGAGCCGTCTTGGGGCGATCTTGGGGGCCTGGTGCGTCTTGTCTTGAAGCGTCGGAAACCCGAACAGGCGAGAAGGCCAAAGCCTTCAAACATCAATTGGAAATCCATGATTGTTGCCTCTTTGGGCCCTATTGGGGCGCCTCTTGGAACACTCTTGGGACGCCTTCGGAGCTTCTTGGGCCGAGTTGAAAGCATCTTGAGCGCATGGGGGCACTCTTGGGCCTGCTAGGAAGCATCTTCGGCCCTCGTGGGCGCTTTTGGGACTCATGTGTGGCTGGCTGCGCTAGCAGAGGACGCGCGCGACACGCCCGTGGAATCCAGGCGAGTCCACGGACATCCGGGAGAATCTGGAACAAGTGGGGAATCCATAGAAATCTCGGGGAAACCCCGGGAATCACAAGAAAGATTTGTGAAATTTGCGGCTTGGGCCCTCAACCATGTTTTAAACCCTACAACTTTGAATTTTTCAGGGCCGCATGGGCCTCGGGGCACTCCACTACGTGCTGCGGGCACGGTGGCGGATTGTTGTCATCCGAATTCGCAAGGACGCGTGCGCAGATTTTTTGAACATACCGATTGCGAGACCAGTGTGTTCTTATCTGTGTCAGGAGACGCGATGTTCGACACCTGAGGCGTTTGGAAGATTTCAGCATGCGAGCGTCTGTGTATTTCTCCAACTTTGATGCAAGGGAGTATTGGAAACATTGAAGATGAAACAACACCCGTGCATGATGTTTGTTTTGGCAGGATGGCGACGGGAGTCGATGCGGCTGGGAGGATACGAATGCATATTTAGGTTGGACGAGGGGCCAGCATCATGTATGACCTTTCACTCGAAAACCGTCCTGGTAATCCCAGGGGGGGTAGATCCGAATTCTTTTTCCCAACCATCCTGTGGTGATGGGTCCTCGTTTTGAAGAGACGATCCCCGCGTTCCTCCTTCTCCTCCTCCTCCTCCTCCTCCTCCTTCTCCTCGCCCTCCTCCCTCCTGCGTTCGCATGCCTCCCCACCACCCATTTCGGCACACCCCTCACACGTTTCGTGGCCCCATAGGGAGCTCCACCGAAGGCCCCAGTGGCTGCGTTCGCATGCCTCCCCACCACCCATTTCGGCACACCCCTCACACGTTTCGTGGCCCCATAGGGAGCTCCACCGAAGGCCCCAGTGGCTGCGTTCGCATGCCTCCCCACCACCCATTTCGGCACACCCCTCACACGTTTCGTGGCCCCATAGGGAGCTCCACCGAAGGCCCCAGTGGCTGCGTTCGCATGCCTCCCCACCACCCATTTCGGCACACCCCTCACACGTTTCGTGGCCCCATAGGGAGCTCCACCGAAGGCCCCAGTGGCTGCGTTCGCATGCCTCCCCACACCCATTTCGGCACACCCCTCACACGTTTCGTGGCCCCATAGGGAGCTCCACCGAAGGCCCCAGTGGCTGCGTTCGCATGCCTCCCCACACCCATTTCGGCACACCCCTCACACGTTTCGTGGCCCCATAGGGAGCTCCACCGAAGGCCCCAGTGGCATGCACCACCCGGTTTCGTGGCCCCATAGGGAGCTCCACCGAAGGCCCCAGTGGCACCACCCATTTCGGCACACCCCTCACACGTTTCGTGGCCCCATAGGGAGCTCCACCGAAGGCCCCAGTGGCTGCGTTCGCATGCCTCCCCACCACCCATTTCGGCACACCCCTCACACGTTTCGTGGCCCCATAGGGAGCTCCACCGAAGGCCCCAGTGGCAGGGTCCGCATGCCTCCCCACCACCCATTTCGGCACACCCTCCACACGTTTCGTGGCCCCATAGGGAGCTCCACCGAAGGCCCCAGTGGCGCGGTGCCTATGAGAAGAGGGGCCTAGTTTGCGTGCCCCCTCCTTCGTCTCATATCCGTGCGGTACTCGCAGCTGCATATGGTTTGGTCCTTCGCCAGGCTATTTTTTTGATTTTTTATATAACGCATGCGTTGTCAACTCCACTGCCCGCTCAACCAAACCGCCCTCTAACCCGCAATTTGTTTGTAAAGCCTATGCGGCCGCCGTTGCGATGACTGCTTGCCCCTGGCTGGCGCATCTCCGCGGCAGCGCTGGCGCGCGCATTGGCCAGTTGGTTTGGCACAACAGATGTTTCTGCGATTGCGCTTGCCAGTGGCAACCACCCAGCGTGTCTCAAAGGCCGAGCAGGCGCGCGGGCAGTTGATTGTAAGTCGCTGACTCGGGCGGGCGCGGTATTCTGATGACGCCGGCAACGGAGGCAACGGTGATGATAGTAGCGAATGTGGTGGCGATGATGACGTTGACGGCGGCTGAGGCACATGACGGCGCCGATGCTGGTGATAACGATGACGGTGTTGGTTTCCATACGTCGGTGATGACGATGCTTGGGTGATGATGGTGGCAATAGCGGCGACTGTCGATGACGATGACGTTATGTGGCGGCGCTGACGAAGGTGACGGTGAGGAAGTGCGCGCGTTGAAGTTCAATCAATGTGGCAAGCTTTTGGTTGACAAGTATATGGTCTTAATGTGTGTTTCGAACACCTTCATCTTGAAATGCTTCGGAGCCCATGGTATTTGACGGATTTGTGCCGAGTGCGTTTGAGGGCCCTTGTGTGTCGCCAGTTTTGCTGTATTTAATACGGTATCGCGCGCTGGGCACATGCTGGATCAGCGCGGATGTACCGCGTGGTAAGATGAGGCTTCGGGTCCTGAGCGATATGGCAGTGGGCAAACGCTACGCGATCTGTTTTCCTACCGTCCCATTCCACGCACATGACCTATTCAGAAACGTCCGAGGACCAACGTACCAGTGAGCGGAAGCTGCTCAGAGAACCGCAGGGCCGACCGTCTACAGAAAAGTGCGATGGCGACGTCGCCGCTACTCCAGATGCGATGCAAAGAGCACCAACGTGAGCTGCTACGCACGGCCACCCCCGCGCAATACGACCCAGCGCCTGCACAGGTACTACGCGCACAAATGCAGCCAAACAAGCGGGACGACGCGACCGACGCAAGGATCGACACATGCGACGTGTACATCCCTTTACACTTGGGACACGTGTGTTGTACCAGTACCCACGGCCGAAGGCTGGGCGGGCACCAAGAGAAAGACGCACATCACAATCGCCTACCTGCCCGACATCAATTTACAGTACTTCACGCTCCTATAGCAGAGGCTCCAACAAGCTCAACAGACGCGGAACACAAACTCATCACACGCCAGCATCACAGCAAACTGGTCACAGAGACCAGCCAACATCTCATACTGGACCGGCCGACTACCGCAAAGACCAGCAGCCATTCGAGGAAGACGACACTACCAATTGAACTACGACGACGCCCGCTCATTCACATGGCCTGAGTCTAACCCCAACCACGACATCCCAGACAACATGTCAAGGCTAAAGTAATCCCACTTCAACTTAGACGGTGCTGAACGAGACCTCAAGGATACCTTGTACAATGTTTCACCAGCAGCACGACAAGAGACGCGAGTTCCAGATCGACGAGGACTACGGCATACGCACCAAGTTCACCAGAGATGGCAAGACCACGTTCCTCAGCTCAATGAGCGGCCCACAACACAACATTGAAGCAGGCTCAGAATTACTGTCGCTCACCAATTACCTAGCAGACGCCCTACACACCCCAGGCGCATCATCACTGCGTCCACATTGGGGTGCACATGCGTACTGGAGAATCAGATCAGACACACCACACCACCAGCCACTTCACAACAACCAGAGCACGTAGAGCTACGCGACCCGACAGACTACGGGAAACGTTCGGCTTTCACGGGGCTGTGTTTGCCGCTTTGTGGAGTTTCTGGTGCGTATTCCTGAGTGTTTGCGCGCATTAGGCTCGCGGTGGTCCTTCCTCTTGCTTGTCGTTTCTGTTCTTGAATTCTGGATAACATCTGCCCGGCTCCAGGTCTCCTCCGCGTCCTCTCTGGTGCATCTGTATGTTCAAACCGAGCTCCCAGTGGTGAGGTCCTGCGTACTGGAGCTAAGATCTAGAGAATCTACGCCCATCCCGCCATTGTGTGTGGGTTGTGGGTCAGAGTCCGGAGGGGTGCTTCTTGGGGTCTTTTCGAAGCCCTGTCGGGAGCTTCTGGGGGGCAGTGCAGAGCAAGCTCTTCGGAGTTTCCTCGGAGCTTTTCTTGGCGTATTTTAGGGCGAACCTTGGTCGTGGACAAGACGCGTCTTTGGGAGGCTTCGTGGGGTCTCTTGGGAGGCATCTCGGGGGCCCCTTGGTGGTATTTGGGGGACCTCCTGGGGCCTCACGGAGGCATCTTGGAGGCCTCTCTGGAGCTTTTTGGGGGCCTCTTGGGGCCCACTGAGGGCGTCTTCGGGCAAAGAGCTCGACATGGCCAGTCGGGTCCTCCGTCTGGGCTCTTCCTTGGAGAACCGTCTTGGGGGCCTCCTGGGCCATCTTGGATGCCTTTTGGGCAATCTTGGGTCCTTTGTGGGCCGTTCTGGGGTTCTCTTGGACACCTCTTGGGCTGGCTCGGGGCGGTCCTGAAGGCCTCTTTGGCCTTTTTGGAGCGTCGGAAAGCGGATAAAGCGAGAACGCCACCATTCATCAAAAGCAAATGAAACATCAATGATGCTTACCTCTTGGGGCTCTTTTGGGAGGCCTTTTGGAGGCCCCTTGGGGCAGCTTGGAGGCCTCGTTGGCCGTCTGGAAGCCATCCTGAGTGTCTCGGACGGATCGCTTGACGACTCGAAACCCGCTTGGACCGTCTTGGGCGCCTCTAGGGGTCCACTTGGAGCGTTCTGGGGCGCCCGAAAGCCGCGCCCAGAAGAAAACCACCTCTGATCCGCACCGCCCGCCGACCAGCTGGGGATCTGCCAGGGTATTTTTCGTCCGGGGACCCTTAGCGCGAAGTAAGAACCGCGTTTCGCGGGAACGTTGTTACAAAAGGTTAATCAAATCATCGGGGAATCGTTTTCGGCGCATGCCATGCCCGCGAAGTTCGCGCGCGCGCGCATTCCCGATCAGTGACTTGCACATTGGCCATGGCAATGCCTGATGAGTCGGTGCCTCTGTGCTGCGTGACGGCGTCCTCGCTGGGTTGCGGGCGCGCTCAGGGACAGCGTTGAACGCGCTGTGCGCGTAGGAACTTGGCGCGGTCGCTGGTGTCGAAGCGGGGGGCGATCCCCCCGTCTGTTTCCCCGCCTTCGGGCAGGGTCTCCCGTCGGCCAGTGGTTTCCGTGGATGACGGCCAAAAGTTGGTGCCGAGCTAGCCGTCAAAAGGCACGGGGCGCGTGGGCGTCCTGGTCTGCTGCCGTCGGGCGGCCGGCATTGGCATGGAGCACGGCCCGGTCAGCGGCGTCGGGGCTTTCGGGCCCGTGCAGGACTGGGCGCCGCCAAGGGACGGGGCTGTAATTCGGGGCTGGCACGGGCTCCAGAGGATTGCAAACCATCCGTGCAGGCTTGTTGCGGGCACCGCCGCTGTAGCCTTGCCTGGTAGTGTTCCCTTTGAGCGATGCTGCCCCCCGGCTTCGCGGCCGGGCCGCAGAGGCGATCCCCTATCCCTGGCCTTCTGACATGCCCAGAAGCGCTCTCCTGGGGACGAAAAAGCTCACCTCGTAGCGTTCCTCTTGCGGGCGGAGCAAGCTTACTTAGTAGTGTTCCTCTAGTGGAGAGAGGGATCTGCCAGTTTGGAGCCCCTCTGGGGCGGCCGCGAGCCATTTTGCTGGACAAAAAACAATGCGCAGGAGTTGGACTGGAACTTTCTGGACGGTTGAGCGCCCCCCCCCAGCTCCCCCATGTTCGTTTGTTTTCATCGCGGGGGCCAGTGCGCCCCGCGGCCCCGCGAGGGCATCTCCGGCATGGTCTTACTTCCTTTTCCTTGTCCTCCTGCTCCTCCTCCACATTTCTTTCGCCCTTCTCTGCCCCCGCCCCATTGTTGCCTCTATCATCCTTCTCGCCACCTGCGCCGACGTCCTTTTCTGTGTCCCTCTCCCCCCTGCTGTGCATTCCCCTTGTCGTCGTCTCCCGTGTGGTCAGGATTGGAAGGGGGGATTCGCAGCGCATCGGGCGCTCCTCCCAGCTCTCTGCAATGGTTTCGCGCCGACGGCTGGTTGCTGGCGGCCACCCCTGCCTGAGAATGTGGACGTTATGTCATCAAGCCTTCGTTTCCCCTTCTGTTGTTGACCATGCAGCCCGCGCAATGCTCCGTCAGGAGCTATGGGTCGGATGGAGCAGCAATGGGAAAGAAATATATCCCCATTCATGTTACCTTCTGCAGGGCCTCTTGCACATGCTGCTGTTCCTTATTCCCGCTCCTCCGTCTCTTCTCTACACTCCTATGCCACAGGGTTTTCCTCCATGGTCCACCTCCAGCTGGTTCCCAAACGAATCAGAAGCGCAGGCGAGCTCACAGCGCTAAGGGCCGCGCTTCCCCACCCCGCCCACTTCCAGCACATGTTCGAACGAGCTGATGCCCGAAGTATTCGGGAACATCGGCAATTGTAGAGATCCGAGGGTCGTTGACAGCGATGGGTAGTTCTTGGGGCAATGCCGACGCCATCGTCAGCGCGGCTCGAACCACAACCAGCGCGGGTGGCGACAGACGCTACAAAAACGCGGAGCATTAATCCTCCCCCTCCTTTTCATCTTCCCTCCGCCCCCTTCCCCTTCTCGTCATCATACTCGTCCTAGTTTTTGTCGTCGCCGTCCTCCTCCTCCTCCGCTCTACCCTCCTCTCCCTCCCCCTCCTCTTCCCCCCTGCACGCGAGGCCGACGAGGACGCGGACGCCGACGTGGGCGAGGCCTTGAGCCTCGCTGAGCCTTGTTGAACTTGCATTCCTAAACACAAATAATTTGAGATCCCCACTGCCTGGAGCACCTTCCGTCTTTCAATTAAGGTGCTCATCCCGGGGCTCGCACCTTGTTTTCTATCAGGGGAAGGCTCCAAAAACTGTGTTGTTGGCGCCATGTCTGCAACAACAACGGCTCCCACGGGATACTTCCTCGCAATGAATTTCGAATTCGCGCTCTCGCGTAGGATTGGCTCATATTCAATGCGGGGGTCGCGCTCTCTCGTGGTATTTCCACGCAATTTACTCGAGCGCCGCGTCCTCGACGCTCAGGAATCATGCTCTCGCTTTGCTCTTTCTCACCTTCACCATTTACTTAGCAATCGCGCTATGGCTCGATACTTCCTTGCGATTCAGGCTGCATTTACGCTCCAACGATCTCCACGCTCGACCTTGCCGTCCGGGCCCGCCCGCCCGACCTGCCCGTTAGGGTCCGCCCGCCTGGCCCGCCCGTCTGGTTCTGCCGCTTGTATTATTGTTCCTCACCCTCCTCCTGCAAGTCTCTCTCGTGCTCCATCCTTTTCTCTCCCCCTTGTCTCTTCCCTCCTCCCTTCCTTCCCCTGTTTTAGCGGCTGCGCCAACTGCACGCGGCAGGTAGGGAGGATATACCTTCATGGGGGTACGAGCGACGACGAAGAGGGCGGGTATGGAGAGTTGGGATATGCTTGTTGAATGGCACGCAAGCGGAAAAGAGCGAGCAGTTCTAGAATGCTCAATTCTGATGTCTAAAGAACTGTTGATGATGATACCCCCAGGGCCATTGCGTTTACCATTTAACATGCTTCTACCGGGGCTCGCGCACAGTCTTCTTTAAGGGGGATGCTTCCACGAACTACAATGACAACGGCTTCCGCCTAGATTTCCTCACAATGTATTCCAAAGTCGCGCGCGCGCGCGGGGCTTCGTCAGAATGTATGCAGCAATCGTGTTCTCACGTGGTACCTCCTCGAATGTATGAGGTGGCCGCGCCCTCGACGCCCAGCAATCGTGCTCTCGTTCTGGCTTTTCCCACGGTTTACTCAAGAATCGCGCTAACGCTCGAGACCTCTTCGCGATTCAAGCAGGGCCCACGCTTCAGCAACCCACCTGCTCGACGTGGCCGCCTGGGTCCGCCTTCTTGCCCCGCCCGTTAGGGTCTACCCGCCCGATCTGCCCCTCTGGTTCTGACGTGTTTTCTGCTCGTAGCCCCCCTCCTGCTAATCTCTCTGGTGTTCCATCCTTACCCGTCCCCCTTCAATCCGTCCTCTCTTCCCTTGTTTCACCAGCTGCACCAATTACTAACATGTGGCAGATACGGAACATGTACCCACAAGGGGGGGTACGATCGAAGACGAAGACGGCGGGCATCGAGGGTTTAGGATATACGTGTTGGAAGGCTCGTGGGCAGGTAAGAACGATCAGTCTTATAATGATTGCTGTTGTGGCTGTTTTTTTGTTTTCGCGCTGTCAGCCATAATTTTTGTTGATTCCCCCCTCCTGTGCCCACTGTATTTTTCAATGACATTGTTTCTCCTTGGGTTGTACAAGGGGAGTCTTGGTGCTCAAGCTGTGGTGTCGGCCACCCGTTGACAACAACAGCGGCTCTCGCATGATACTTGTTCACCGTTTATTTCACATTCGCGCTTCCGCGCAGGACATTTTTACAATTGGTGCAGGAAATGCGCTCTTGCGTCGTACTTCCTCACATGTTTTTGCGGCGCCTTGCCCGCTAGACCCTTGACCCAGGAATCACGCTCTCGTTTTGGATTCCCTCTCAATTTACTTGTGAATGGCGCTGTGGCTCGAAATCTCTTTGCGATTCATGTTAGATTGACGCTTCAGCGGCCCGCCCGCTCGACCCGGCCGTGTGGGCCCGCCCGCCCGACCTGCCTTTTAGGGTCCGCCCGCCCGGCCCGCCCGTCTGGTTCTGTCATTCGAATGATTTCGACATTCGCGCGCGAGGAATTTCTGTGATTTCATGAGAGGAATCGGTTTAAAAACAAGGGTCTTCGCAAGAATTCGCAAGAGCGCGCGCATTCTATTGCTGGCCTCGACTTGGTCTCGATGAAGAGTCCCTCGGCGCTTTGTTGTTGGACGGCGCTTGTGTCCAGCAGGCAGGCTCCAAGGAGGGCTGTTGTACTGCGTGCCCATGTCCTCTCCTCCTCGCCTCCCTCCTTACAAAGAAGCTTGGGCAACTTTAGCAGGCAGCGCACTTCAGCGGAACTTTTGATTAGATGATTGGCACCACTGTGTGCATTAGACGTTCGGCCATCGCCGGGTGTTTGGTGGGCTTTACGCCCCCCGGGTCGCGTTTAAGAGGCCCCGCGTTGTTGTGTTTGCGTTGCCGAGGAGAGTTTTTTTTTTTTTTTTTTTTTTTTTTTTTTTTTTTTTTTTTTTTAAAAAAAAAAAAAAAAGAATTCGCAAGAGCGCGCGCATTGTTTTGATTGTTTGTTGTTTGTTTGTTGTGTTGTAGTTATTTCCGGGGACCGCAATCTTGAAATGTCCTGGTGCCGAAGGTTTTGGAACGCTGTCGACATGCGCGCGCGACGACGCGCGGGTGTTGACTTTGCTGTGTTGCTTCCCAGGCGGATTATCGATATGATGATATGACCATTGCATGCGGTTTTGGTTCTACGAACGCGCGCGTATCTTTGGTCGACAGGGAAGGGGGGGGCGGTGAGGGGATTCCTTGGGATGGTATGAGTTCTTGTGCAATATGAAAAAAGCAACGAAGTCATTTGTACATTGTTTCATCCCTGGGTGGGGGTCGAGTCTATATTTGTGTAAAATCGCATATTTTATGTTGCGCAATCAATGTGGCGCAGCACTTCGGCGACGAAGCGGCGATGGGGCGGCGACGGTGGCCACGTAGCCGCCAGACAGGCGGCCAGGCCTCGACGACAGGCGGCGACGCGGCGGCGGCGTGGCGGCGACGGCGCCCACATAGCCGCGAGACCGGCCAGGCCCGGACGACGGGCGGCGACGAGGCGGCGACGGGGCGGTGACGCCGGCAACATAGCCGCCAGATTGGCGGCCAGGCCCTGACGACCGGTGACGACGAGGTTGCGATGGGGTGGCGACGGCGGCCTTATAGCCGCCACGCCGGCGGCCAGGCCCAGACGACCGGCGGCGACGAGGTTGCGACGGGGCGGCGACGGCGGTCTTATAGCCGCCACACCGGCGGCCAGGCCCAGTTGTTTGGGGAGAACACATACATGCATACATGTACACGTTTTTATACGTATATGTTTACGGGTTCCAATGTTTGTATGTCGGTTTGCATGTTTGTGTATGTACACACATGTATGTATAGTTTCCATTTTCTTTCTCTCGCTCAGCTTTCTGGCCGGTTTGTTCGCAATGTGGCTTGAATATTGCACATACTTGTTCTACGCGACACATCGTGCTTGCGGGCCAAGCTTATTCGGGGAGCTTGTCTCGTTTATTCAATGCGAGTTCTTCTGTTTCTTCTGTGGCAACGGCAGGGCGGCGGCCACCGGCCCAGGTCGGCAGGCGCTGGCTTTGGCGGTGTTGGCAGACATCCGTGGTATGCTTTCACGCCCAGACTTCCGTCAAGAGGCGGAGGCAACCAACAGCAGTTGCAGCAGCATGCCCGTTGGACATGCCCATCACACGTGCAATTTTTCAATCGGTGCATGCACAGCGGGGCGAGCTTGGCGCCTATGGCCCGGCCGCCACGTGATGCGTGTGGCGCTGCGGTTGCGGATCCGTGGACCTCGTCTCCGTCCGCCCCGCCTGGGCAGTTCAGTCAGTAGCAGCAACAATTTTCAGTCTTCTAAGGCCTAAGGCTTGGACTTTATGCAGGGGGCCAGCATTGTCGGCAAATCAGGAATTGTATGTTGGCTGCTATATCGGAGAAGGCTTGGGGCAAGGTTGGAGCGGACCGTCATCGGGCGTTGGCTGTATCAGCGCAGGAGCCTTAGACCCATACTCTTCAGCATCAGGTCTTGTTCGTTCACGCCAGGATGCGGGCAAGCGGGCGGGAATAAACAATCATTAGCTGTTCAAAGACGCGAAGATTGGAACACCGGTGCAACAGAAGGCGTTCATCACGCAGCTGTGTGATCTGCACTTGCGCAGCCCCCGTCGGCTGCGGCGCGTCGCTCCCCCCGCCTCTTGCCGCCCCGCGCGGGTATCTTTCGCGCTCGAGACGCAAAGCGCGCGTCGAGCGCCTTGGGAAGAAGCGCAGTTTTGGAGAGACCGGCGCAGCTGCAGAGTTGTTGGCGAGGACACTTCCAGCGGCCCCAGCGCCAGGGCTGGCAGAGACTCTGCGGCGCCGGATGACGGCGAGCCCAGCGGCGATCTAGCGGCGCAGTTCCACGGTTCGGGTGGCGCGCGAGGAAGATCCGCAAATGTCGCTCAGTCACGGGGGCCCCCCTTTGCAAACGCCTCTTAGAATTAGACGCTCGCAGGGGGGCAGGCCGCAGCGCGCTCTGGCTCGCGACTGGCCTTCCTCGGGGCGGACGTCTGGCGGTGTTTCTGGCTGCGCTCGTCGTCGTGGAAATCCGGTCTAGCAGCTCGTTTAGCGATGGGGGTCCTGATTCCGTTCTCGGCGGCGACGCAAACTGTTGCCCCTGCTCTTCGGGCACAGCGAGAAGGTGGAGCTCGTGCCCCGGGCGGCGCAGCGGACTGGGGCGCGCGCTCCGGGGTCTCAGTTCTGACGGCGAGGCGCGGCGCCGGCGTCGTTCCGCGCCCGACCCCTCTGACGTCGCGATGGTTCTTTCGCAGTCCGACAGCTACTTCGGCGGAGTCGATGGTCGTCATGGGCTGGGCGAGTACCTGTCCGGCGGCGGGCGCAGCGGAGTCTTCGTTGCTCTCCGCCGGCATTCGACCTCTCCGACGACGCGACGGCGCCATCGCAGTTTCGCAGCCCCTGCCACGGACATCGCGAGGTTGGGCGGGCTAGTTTCCAGGGGCGTGCACAGCGGAGGTGGGCGTCCGCTTCGCGACGT